GGACCCAAAAGACCGAATCACCCCTACCCTATTGGTTTCCGAGGCTCCAACCGAGTAATTTCAAACAGGGCGTTACAAAAGAGATCTTCTGATGGAAGAAGATCTTCTGAAACCCTACTACTGGTGGGCAACGATGAAGATCGATGTTGCAAATTATGTGGCCGATTGTGTGACATGTGCGAGGGTTAAGTCACAACATTAGAAACCGTATGGGAGTTTAGAACCTTTACCTGTACCCATGGGTAAATGGGAAGACATCAATATGGATTTTGTAACTAAACTGCCTAGAACAAAAAGTGGTCACGATATGATTTGGGTTGTCGTTGATCGTTTCACAAAAAGTGCACATTTCATAGCCGCCAATGAGAAATTGTCTATGGAAAAGCTTGCAAAGGTTTACGTGAAACAGATAGTGAAAGCTGATGGTGTTCCCATGACAATTGTATCTGATTGTGATAGTCGTTTGCCGTCAAGGTTTTTGAGAAGTCTACAAGAGGAATTGGGTACAAAGTTATGTTTAAGTACAGCTTACCATCCGCAAACCGATGGTCAGAGTGAGTGAACGATTCAAACGTTGGAGGATATGCTAAGAGCATGTACCCTGGAATTCCAAGGTAACTGGGATAAACATTTACCTCTAGTAGAATTTTCCTACAATAATAGTTTTGACTCGAGCATCAAGATGACACCTTATCAAGCTTTGTATGGACAAAAGTGTCGAACGCTGTCATGCTGGCTTGAAGTGGGGGAAAAGCAGTTTATGAGACTCGAGATAGTTCATCAGACTGCTGAAAAGCTGAAAGTGATTACATAAAGAATGTTAGCAGCTCAGGATCATCAAAAGAGCTATGCTGAAAAGAAAAGACAACCAATAACATTCGAATTTGGAGATTCGGTTTTACTTAAAGTCTCATCGTGGAAAGGACTTATAAGATTCAGTAAAAAGGAAAAATTGAGTCCGAGGTTTATTAGACCGTTTAAAGTTCTTTAGAGGATTGGGAACCAAGCTTACAAGCTAGAGCTACCATAAGAACTAGATGGTATTCATAACACTTTCCATGTATGTTATTTGAGTATGTTCATGGGAGATGTTCCCGACATAGTTCCAATTTTTGAATTAAGGTTGGATGAAATCAAGAGCTTAGTAGAAAAATTAGAAGCAATCTTTGACCGTAAGACTAAGAATTTGCGACGCAAGTTGGTAAATTTAGTGCTTGTGCGATAAAAATATACGAATGGGCCAAATCTCACTTGGGAAATGGAGAGTGACATGATGAGTCGCTACCTGCATTTCTTTGCTAATGTGTGATTTTGAGGATGGAATCATCCTAAGGGGGAGAGAATTGTAACGCTCGTATTTCTAGGCTAGGCACTAATGATGATGTAATAGTCTAGGCCAACCTTTGTAACTTGTTTTGAAATAATAAAGATGTATTATTTGATTAGTATGTGTTTTATGCTTATTTATTATAATTTAATGAGTTAAGGATAAAAAATAAGCGTCGAAAATAAATGTTAGATAAAGCCGATATCTATGAAGAAAGTTGTAGTGGTTGAAATAAGGATTACGAAGTTATAAAGAATATCGAAATCCGAGTTATAACGAAGACTTATGACCTGTCGAAGTTTCGCGATAGAACCAACATGATGCTGTGTGACATAAAAACAAATCTTACGATAAAGTGCATTTTACATTAATGATCTAAATGAAAGTTGTAGTATTCGTTAAGCCGAGATTTTTTATAGAAAATGCCCAAATCTGACTTCATATGAGGAAGTTATGATTTTTCTAAGTTTCAGTACAGGAGTATATAGCTAAAAACTCGAAATAAAGATCGAGTGGTTTTTAGCCGACACAGCCTAAACGAGAATTGAAGTTCTCATCAATAGTAGTACAACAGTAAAAATACAGACAAAACCGGACTTTGGATGAAGAAGTTATGAATTTTTAATGAATATATAGTCCCGGTCTGTTAAAATAATAATATTAAAAATAAAATCAAAATTAGCCGACGGAGTCCAAAAGAAAGTTGTATAGTATAATCTCGTGTACGCGTGCATATAAAGAACGTCAAAAACAGAGATCGTATGCGAAAGTTATAGATTTTTGAAGTTTGGGACATAAAATTCGAGAAAATCACAAGAACCGAGGAATTTCGCATGGCCGAGTATCGGCCACATCACCCACTTCTCGAGGTACCCCGTATCTGAAGCATGTCCGCCTGCTGATTTGACCGAAGGCATGACCCTATCCGAGACCGACACCTGCCCTCGCCTCGCATATGACGTCTGGCCCCCCTCGCTGATGCCACCTCCTCCCCCCTCGCATGTCGTCCCCTCTACCCCTTTGGGCGAGGCTTCGCCCTATTTAAAGGAAGGTGTGAACCCTCCCGTTTTTGGTTGGATTTTTGCACACTTTTACACTTTACACCCTATTTTAAGCTATCTTACATCCCCCGAAGCCCCGGGAACCTACATAACACCCGAAGAACGTCCTGAAGTGCCGGAAGACCCCGAGAAATTTATCTTTTCAGTTTGAAGCTCAAACCACGCAAGGCCCGATTCTCATTAAAGCTCCCGGTTTCCTCAGAAATGATCGTTTTAGGAAACGAAGTGCTTCCCGATTATCATTAAATCAAGTGAGTGTGTAGTCACCTTCATCTTACACATAGATATGAAGTATTTTCTACAAAATACGTGTTATGTGTATAATTATTGTTCATTTATTTGAGATGGGGTGTTGAATAAATGTTTCATACAGGTTTAAAATGATTTAAACTGTATATGTATTTTATCTACAAATATGTTGGGTATAACATGGGTAGATGAAATAGTTGGTGTGTGTTAAAATGATGAGAGGTCTCGATGTCGTTGTTGTTGTGGTTGTTGTTGTTGTTGTTGATGTAGTCATCTAGCGGAGTATAGATGATGACCACAGACCTTTCTAAACAGTCCAATGGAACGCTAGCAGGCTCCTAACCTGTTGGTGTTGGTGAACTATATGTTCGTTGGTGTACTCCATCCTCCTCATGGTTGCCTTACATACATATATGGCTGAGGAATCTCCTTAGAAGTAAAGTCTATCCCGATGATGATCCTTAGGCTAGGTCCCTTATGATAAGTGTTTAGGGACGTAACGTGAGGATAATGGGAACGGGTAATCAGGGTTATTGTTGGTTGATGAAATTTATAAATTTATTATCGATTGATGAAATTAATAAACTTATTGTTATTTGTGGGTTGAAAACCCTATATGCTCACCAGGCTACCAAGCCTAATGCACTCAACTTTTTATATTACAGGTAGTGGACCCAGAGTATAGTTTGGATGATGAAAGGGGATTTTTGGATTATTGGCCAGTAGCTGTAAATAACTGTTGTAAGGTTTATAAAATGTTGTTTATGCTTTTGGTCTGTATCAGAACATTACATCCCGAGATTTTGTTATATAATGAAAATACATTTCTTTAAGAAATGCTTTGATAAATTTATTTTTATCATATTTTGTTTTGGAGACCAATTCCGCAACATCTTTTTGAAGATTACTCTGATTTTATTTTAAATGCATAAACTAAATCGGTATTTTTTTGCCGTGAAATTGGGGTATGTCACAAGAGGACTCTACTAGGGAGGTACCTTTCCCTTCACGAAGTAGATGTCCTATTATGATACCTTGGTGGACGAATTTTGTTATGTTCACCCTGGCCAGCTATGATACCTTGGTGGACTGATTTGGTTCTATTCACCTTATCCATTTATGATACTTTGGTGGATTGATTTGTTCTTTCCGTATTGACCTTGGAAATTGTAAAAGATTAAATGAAATGTTATGATAAGATACGAAATGACAAGATGTGAAATAATAAGATACGAAAGGATAGTTGTGATGTGTATCAAAAGAGCTTTCCTTGAAAATGATTGAAAAAGTTTTATGGTCTAAAACAATGTTATTTTATGAATGAAATGCTTTTTCATGTTAATAATTTGAAACATTTTGGATCACAAACTCACATAACCGATTTTTCATGTTAATAATTTGAGACATCATTATCTTACATATCCCTTTTTAATGTCATGGATCCTAGGTTGTATTCAAGGAGAAAGATGATAGATGAAAGTATTATGAGATAGAGAATCGAGTTGAACTTGTTAAGTTCCTTATTTATTTATTGATGTAATTCTTATTTGTTTGCTATGGTTGTATTAATTTCTTAATGGTAACACCCAATGTTTTAATCTATAAAACCTTTTTGTGGGATCGACTTTTATTATATGTGGGTTAATACCCGATTTTTATTTAAAACCATAACATTTTAAAGTTTGCAAGAGGTGTTTCAGTCAATGTTTAAAAAAGGGTTTGAACCTGTCAGTCTAATCGGTTGGTCCAGGAACCGGGGGATAGCGGTATAACTATCATCGGTATTACGTCGATTTCTAAACCGGCTTGAACCGGTCGGTTTTTAGAAAACCCGATTGAACCGGTCAAAATAAACCGGTTGAACCAGTTAAACCGAATAATAACACTTGAAAAACAACCATTTACATAATAAACTTTCATGATTTTTTTTTCAAACCTATTTTTCTCTAAATAAAAAATGTGGTAAATGTTATAAAGTTTTTTGATGTGTTTGTACTCATCTAAAACTATATTTTATTTCGGTATTATTATTATTTTTTTTTAACGTATATGGATTGATGTAAATACTAAAACTTATGGTTATGAATGTATTTGGATTCATCTACAACTTATTTTTATGTGTATTTTTAATATTTGAACATGTAACCATCAAATTAATGAATTTATGTATGTATATGAAGGAAAATAGAAAAAAAAAAAACATTAAAAATATAAAAGGCGATTAACCCAGCGGTCGAATCGGTTAAACCGATTGAACTGGATACCGATCACCATACCGTTCAACTAAAAAAACGGTTTTTAAAACATTTGTTACAGTCAAATTGAGCGTAGCACAAGAATTGAGTAAAATCATGGAAGCAAGATGTAAGGAAGATATTGTTTCACTTGTATAATCAATACAAAATTATCATTTTTCCATACATATAGGTTTCGCATATACTAAAGACATTTAAGTAGTATATAGTTTCATAAACTCTCAAACTCCACTCAAAACAAACCAAAACAGCCATCAACTACTAATTAACACAAGGAGTTGCTACAACAAGAATAGGACACTTCTTATGAACAGTAAGACCAATGGTCTCACTCATGTCCAAATCCTCTCCACCAGTTAATGTAAAATCAAACTTATACACCAAATTAGCCAAAACAAGCTCGTTAACAACCATGGCAAACTGAATACCAGGACACCCTCGGCGCCCAGCACCAAATGGTATCAGCTCAAAATGAAAACCTTTGTAATCAATAGGTGTGTCCAAAAACCTCTCTGGCCTAAACTTATCTGGTTCTTCCCATATGGAACCATCCATCGCTATCGCCCATGCATTGATGATCACTTGTGTTCCTGCTGTGATGTCGTAGCCAAGTAGTTTGACATCTTGTGTCGATTCATGAGGAACAAGTAGTGGGATCGGAGTGTGTAGCCGTAGGGTTTCTTTGAGAACGGCTTTTAAGTACGGCATGTTATCTAAGTTGTCTTCGGTGATCATTGATCTTCCTTGACCTATTTCTCGTGCCTCCTGTTGCAGTTTTTTCATAGTTTGCGGGTGTCTTAATAGCTCGCTAATTGCCCACTCTAAGTTTGTAAACGTAGTATCAGTTCCAGCAGCAAATACGTCCTGCACAAGATCAACATAAATGGTTGTTTATCATCATTACATAACAAGTTTTATGCGTTCTTCAACCGATGATCGTTACAAAAAAAAAAAAGGGTCAAAGATCTAATGAAACCTTACCAAGATGATAGCTTTAATCTCATTTAGTTCAAGACGAAATCCCGTCATACTATCTCTTTGAATTGCTAGTAAGATATCAACGACATCTTGGGCTTCAACGCCAACCACTTTTTTATTTACATGTTCTTCAATAACACCGTCAAGAAACTCATCGAATTGTTTAGCAACCTCGTTACTTCTTCCCTCTAATCCACTCAACCGATCTACCCACCTTAACCATGGAATATAACTCCCAACAGTAAAACTTCCCAACAACACCAAAAACCTTTCTAATAATCCCTTAAACTTCTTCCCATCATATGTCCTCCCCAAAGCCACCCTACAAACAACATTATTTGTAAGTGAAATAAGCAACTCGCTCAAATTAACCACCGATTCATGGGCTTCACCAATCATTTTAATCATAAGAGACATCTCATCTTCTCTGACTTGCCTATACGACTGAACCCTTTTGTTCGTTAAGAGATGGATCACCGCAATGCTCTTTACCCGCCTCCAATACTCTCCATACTGCGAAAAAGCTATGTCTTTGGAGCCATAGAAAATTTTATCAGTGATTTTTGATTTCGGTCTGCTTGAAAAGGCTAAATCATGAGTTTTCAAAATCTCTCGAGCTGCATTAACAGAGGATGCGACAAGCACTGGCACGGTGCCAAGGCGAATCATCATCAATGGACCGTAGGTTTGAGCCATGGCTTGGAGGGTGCGGTGTGGGCTGGAGCCAAGTTGGTGAAGGTTTCCTATCAATGGTAACCTTGGTGGAGATGGCGGTAGGTTTACGTGTGGTTTTGAAGACGAAAAAAGTGTTTTGAATAGGATTAAGAAGATAAGCAAGGGAAGACAGGAGATGAGAAAGAACTGGAAGTTGACAGACATTTCGTTAACCTTCTCTTCTAAATTGTCGAAGGAGTTGGTAGTTTTGGTTAAAATATATAGCAGGAGGAGTTGTGTTTACTTATATTTATTTTTAACTTTTTTTTCTCTTTCGTTTTTAGAAGTGGTGATATTTTTAGAAGGCGTTGAGATATGGTGGCCTCACCGTTCCACCATCCGTTCCAACCATTTCATTGGCAACCTTATAATATTTCATCTAAGACAAAATCCCAAAAAAAATATCTATATGTTTATTAAAAATATATGGTTTTGATTAAAAAAAAAACGTTTTGGTGATGTTTTAGTCTTTTCATTTTGGATATTTGTGCGGTTTTGATGAATTTCTATTATTATTCATTTAAGACATTTTAATTAAAAAAATCAAAAAGAAAATTCCACCCACCACCTCTAATTATCTATCTCTCCCAAAAAGAAAATCTCACCAATCGTCGCTGTTATGTCTGGCCACCATCAGAAACATCCTTGGAGCTTTAGTCGTCACCGTTACTTCTTCTCCCATCACCATCGATCAACACCAACACAAGAAAATCAGAGCACATCTATTTCAATTCATCTCCTCCGTCTAGGTACAAGGAGATCCAATAGAGGTGGTCGTGGTTGGTGATTTTCTCCAAGAACACAAGGCACACACGATTTTAGATTCCATATATTGGATGATTTTAGCTGCGACTTGATTCAGTGTCACCGTCTACTTCTTTGAATCCATTAACCCTAAATCCATAATGATATGAACACATGCATATGAAATCGATTTTCAAATATCTATCATTCTTGAAAGGCCATAAGCGTTTTTAGAGAGTTGTCTCGGTGGTGATGGTGTTTCCGACTAGAATAGGTGGTGGTGTCCGTGTAGGTTTGAAGTTGCATTTTCTTCAACTACAACATCTCTAAAAACCCTAGTTCCGATGACGGATTAAAGATGACTGTGCTCTAGGTCTGCAAAAGAATGATGTAGAGGGTGAGGGACGTGGTTAGGTGTTTGTTTGTTGGTAGCAGAGAAGAGGGGGAAAGAGAGGTGTTTTTCATAGATTATGACGACGGATTAAAGATAATGGTGCTCTAGGTCTGTAAAAGAAGGATGGAGAGGGTGGGAGAAGTGGTGAGATGTTTGTTCTTTAGTTACAAGGAAGAGGGGGAAAGAGAGTTCTTTTGAAAGAGAATATATATATATATATATATATATATATATATATATATATATATATATATATATATATATATATATATATATATATATTATATATATATATATATATATATATATATATATATATATATAAAGTGAATATACTTAAAGGTATATATAAATTATTGAATAAAAACCGTTTAAGTGGCAAGATTTAAATAATTAAATAACTTTTAGTTAACTTTTGCCATTTGTTTTATTTATTGCAAAATTATTGAAAAAAAAAATTATGTTTGATGAGCCGATGATAAATGAAAGTAACAACAATCCATTTTATTTTAGTTTAAGAAATCCAAATTTTTATTCTCTTCCTCCTTAAGTTTGAGGGCTCAAGTCCTTTTAAGGACATAAATGAAATTAAGGAATATTTTATGAGTAAATTAGATTAATTGTTAAAAAAAAAAAACAATCCAAATTTTTATTTGAATGTGCCAACAATACGAAAAATATATATATAATAATAGATTGTTGTATTTAGCTTTCTAATAATTGGCTTCTCTCCAGTTTTATATGAAGATTTTTAATAATTACAAGTTACAGTCAGCTTTTGTCTTTGTGTAATATGTGACCTACAATAGTTGTCAAAGACGATTATGAAGATAGCAATCCACAACAATGAGTGGCACCGAACAATGTTTTGACCTAAATGATTTTTTTTTAATTACTTTAAAGAAATATCATTTTAACCGAGTATTGTTGCTCTAACAGCTTGTTCAAAAAGCATCATTAAATTTATTTATTTTTTTTTGTTTAAAAACATCATTAAACCAACATTTTTGTAGATAATTTACCATCAAACTAATTTTGTTAATATTTAATCACTTTCATCTTTTCCGTTCATCATCAGTTTTTCGGTCATCTTCGTTGGCTAACACAATTCCAATGAAGAAAGATATTATCATTTTACATGTTCAGGTAAAAAACATTGCAAAACTCACAATCTCTTCATTCTTCTCCTAACTCATGCCACTGCACACGCTTCGCTCCTAATACTTTGCGAAAACCACCATATCCACACATCCTTGTTTTTCCCCTTTCTTCTTAAACCATATGAGATTAGTAAATACATTTGTTTAAGGATTGAAGACTATTTTTCTTGGAAGTGATGGTAAATGGTGGATTTGAATGGTTGTGTTGGTCAATGATGGCAATAGAAAGTGATGTTTGTTGTTGGAGATGGATGGCGTTGGTTGGAGTGGACGGTGATTATGGTTATGGATGATGTCGAATCGTGATGTTGGCCAAAGAAAATGATCTACACATAGCTTAATGGTGTAAAAATAGTCTAATGGTATCTCCGGTAAAATAAACATTAATCTGCAATACTCAGTCGAAATCATAGAGTTTGAATAGTTCACATGAGTTTAATGATAAATTGTGTAAAAAAAACAAGTAATGTGCATAAAAATAATAGTCCGTTGCTTTGCCCAAAATCATTTTTTTCATTCTTTTACAGTGATATTATTTGACTTTTCAAACCTCCGATAAACAACCAAAAATATAAAATCATTGTAATATATGTCCCAACAATGGTAAATTCAGGATTCAAACCCACATGTACCCAAAAATATTCAAGAAAACAAAATAAATAAATCATATTTTTTTTGGTTATCAGGTCCTTATCGATGATATCATCTAACACATCCACTATAAGGAAATGCGCAATTAGCGGCAACAAAAGTCACCGGTAAAGAGTTGAGGAGTTGCCGCTAAAACTAATAGCGGCGACACTTTGCTGGTAAAGAGTCCCCCTATTGCTTCGTCGCTATTGATCAAATTGTCGTTGTTAAAGACAAATGTCGCCGCTAATGCACCTGTCGCCGGTAATACTCAGTGTCGCCATTAAAGAGTATGTCGCCGGTAATATTTATGTCGCTGGTAATACTCAATGTCGCCGCTAAAGAGTATGTCGCCTGTAATACTTATGTCGCCGGTAATAGTGTTGCCGGTAAGAATATTTTTCATTTTTTTATATTAGCATTTTTGGGTATAATTAATTTCAAATACTATTATAACTAATTCTATACCAAAAATTACATAACAACATCAAATTAAATACCAAATACTGTTATAATTAATTTAATACCAAAATAAAATAACCAAAAGCTTGACAATTATAACAAGTAGCAAAGTAAGTTTTACAATTCTAATAATTAGCAAAGTGTGACAAGTATAACATACAAATAAAGCTCCTCCCTACATATCATCATCTTCGTTCCCATCATTTCCTCCTTGATTATTCTGTGATTGAAAAAACGAATATAGTTCCTCCCTACATGTCGGGTCGTTGAGTAATGCACGAAAATTTTCCAACTACATAATAAATAACAATATATATATAAATTATAAGTTAAATTATCAAACATAAACAAAAACTACCAAAGTACCTTACTATTTCTTGCACTTAAATACAAGATATACCAAATGTACATCGTTATTTATTGCACTTAGGACGAAAACACAATTACCAAATCCACATGCATTTTATGACACCAAAGTACATTGCTATTTTTAAACTAAGACAAAAAAATCAAAGTACATTGTTATTTCTTGCACATGGGACAAAAACTCAAATACCAAAGCTTTTAGCAAATACTCGCCACAAAACCCCAAAATGACCAAATAAACATACATTTTATGATGTAAAACTACATTTCTATTTTTAAACTAAGCCAAATAACCAAAGTACATTGCTATTTCTTTCATTCGAGACAAAAACCCTGTAACATCCCAAAAATTATGGACCAAAAATTTCATTTTTAATTAAGTGATTTGCAAAACGTTAGTAACAAAATATCATTCGACCGTATCATTTAATAAAACATGACTCGCGTTTGTAAACCAGAACGTAAATCATAATTATATCAGAGTACAAATCCCAGAATGTCTCATAGTGCTGAAAAACAAGAGTGTGTGTGTGATATGTCGTTACCGTGCCAGCTCCTTCCCCTTGGCTGAAGAGGTACCTGAAACAACAACTAAAAACTGTAAGCACGAAGCATAGTGAGTTCCCCCATTGTACCGCATACCAAATAACCACATAACATACAAATATTGTCAGGCATATCTGGGTGACCGACCTACCCCTTCGATCCTCTCGATCGGATATTGACTAGCATATCTGGGTGTTGGTCTCCCCTTCGGTCCTCTCAACCGGATACTGACTAGCATATCTGGGTGTTGGTCTCCCCTTTGGTCCTTTCGACCGGATATTGACTAGCATATCTGGGTTCTGGTCTCCCCTTCGGTCATTTCGACCGGATACTGACTAGCATATCTCGGTCCTGGTCTCCCCTTAGGTCCTTTCGACCGGATACTGACTAGCATATCTGGGTGCTGGTCTACCATTCGGTCCTTTCGACCGGATACTGGGGACTATTTCACCCCTACCACTACCACATAACACGTATCACATAGTCTATTTAGCAAGGCTGGGCATGACTGCCCCTTCGGCCCTATCGACCGGTAAGCTGGGGACTACCTCTCTACTATTGCTAGCACATAACATCATATCGTACAAACACATAAACATAACACAGGTAGTGGCAACCCTAAATGAATATCACAGAGACAATCATCTAACCATACAATTCCTACTAGTGGACTGACATTGTGGCCTTAGACCCGCTGCTACTAGAAGGTAACTCACCTCGAAGTAGCTGCTGAAAGTCTACTTGCTGAGCGCCTGACTGCTGAACCGGAACTCCCCGACTACAATTTCCATAAATACTAAGTCAAATACTGATAAATAATCTTAGGGTAAAATAACTATTTTACCCCCCGGTCAAAGTCAACATCCTGGTCAAAGTCAACTTCCTGGTTGACCGGACTCGTCGAGTTGGCTCGTCAACTCGCCGAGTCCCTTCCATCTGTTCTAGTTTGATACACGTTCTACTCGTCGAGCTTAGCGAAAGACTCGATGCGTTCTTCTTCAATACACACATACTGAGTCCAAGTTCATCCGACTTGCCGAGTTGAAGAACAACTCATCGAGTTTAAGGCAATCTTCATCGGACTCGCCAAGTTGCTCATCCAACTCGCCGAGTCCATGACTATCTTCATAGGACTCGCCGAGTCCAACGTTCTACTCGCCGAGTTCATTCAGTCCTTTTTCCATACATACCTGATTTGAGCCATGCAGCGGCTCCAAACCACAAATCTAGGCTTCTAGGGCATGCTTATCAGGTAAAGTTGCAAACTTTACATGCATGCATAGCTTTAGAGGCTTCAGATGTCCAAACTAAGCTCTTAATGGGGTTCTAAGCTCAAGAGGGACCTTAATCACCAATATGACTGAAACTTAACACATCTAGAAGGTAATGAGAGTCCATATCTGAAGTATAACCCAACCATAAGGTTTCTCTTCAAGGATTTGGGGTTTAAGGGCTTAGAAGCAACAATTTAGGGACAAACAAGATCTAATAGATCAATAATCAAGATGGAAACTTTATTACCAGAATGGATGACCACCAAAGAATGTGTTCTGGATCTAAGTCCCCTTCCTTGACCTCTTCAACCTCTACCTTCTTCCACTTGCTCCAAAGTGCACCAAAAGTCCCTTCACAAGGCACCAATCACTCAAACTTACCATTGGAGGCTAGGGTTTTGATAAGGAATGCTATGAGGGTGATGGAGGATGAGATGGGGCTATAAGGACATTTAAATAGGGTGCAAACCCTAAGGATTAGGGTCTCCTCCTGATTGGCCTACTCACCGAGTCTAGGCGTGGACTCGCCGAGTAGATCACTTAAAGCCCGCATCCAACTCGACATCTACTCGGCGAGTTAGGGCTACAACTCGCCGAGTAGCTCTTCCAAAAAGAAACATTTAATCAAAATAAATACGTACCAGGAACGGGGTGTTACAATTCTCCCCAACTTATCTTAGACTTCGTCCTCGAAGTCTGCTATCTCCAGAAACAACTCTGGGTGGTGCTCCCTCATCTCCTCCTATGCCTCCAATGTCCAC